ATTTGCATACTGATGTTAGGTTGTAAAGGGTTAAAGAGAGTTCAATCCCAGAGCTTCACCTCTGAAGTCCACTATCGACATCTCACAGCAGGAAACAATCATAATGATTGTTCAATAAGAAAATGGATTCTACAGGATCAAACTTTCCCAAAATACTTCCTCTTTTTCTTCTACATTTGAAATGCCTTTTTACGGTTTGTTTTCCATCTTATAAATAATCATTGTCATTGCTCTGAAAATACAATACCTTGCATCAAGTTCTTTGGTTCTCAGAAAATTTAATATGGGAACAAAGGCTTCTGGATCTCTATCAATAAATATCTATTTTTGAAAGAATAATAGAGTAATTAGTAGAGGCCCTTGGTAAGCTGTGGCACTACATGACAGGAAGAGAAATTTCAAATTCAAATTTCAAATTCAAATTTCAAATGTTCCAAATTACAAAACCAGCTTAAGTCAATTATTGAGAGTTATTGGTATAAATAACTGTAGGTTTAACTTGAATGAAACCCATTCAATAATATGGTTGGAATGTCCATGTTGTCTTGGATTTTGATTATTGACATTATAATTGGAAGGCCACAGCACTCACCGCTCCTGTTTCATCTTTTAGAGATGAAATTCGTCCACTTAGCAAACTAAAAAGAAGGGTAATGAAAATAATGAATGGTCAATGTCTGGAACTAGCAACTATATACTTAAAAACTTACCAAACTTAAACATAAAAATGAATTTTGTAACAAGTACTATTATCATACATTCTTTTACATCATACCTATAGACAATAGATTTTATACATGAAGAAGTGATGTCATATCTACAGACAATAGTTTTATGCACTTTTGTCTTTACAACTGCAGCTCAGGAATATGCATAATAAAACAATTATTGGATTCGGTCTTCACATGATAGTGATAATTATCAAGGCCTCAGTTTGTGTTATCTGCCTCAGCCTTTGGCTTAGGCAGTCACAACACAAACTTTGGCCTTGATAATTATTGCTATCGAGTGAAAACTGAACCCAATGATTGTTAATTATTAATTATCAATTCTTTATCATAAGTGGCAATAAATATTTTATAATGAAATAATAACATTGTAAACAGATGGTCCAAGAAGGGAAACAGCTAGGTAGCATGGAAAGTTGTACGCAGGACCACTTTCCCACCATGAACCTAAAATCTAGTCGGTGGGAATTGTCTAAATTAGGCTCCTACAGAAGAAAGCTTTTGAACTTCTTGTCATTTTAAAGCAGATCTATTTATTTCCTAAACAAAGTTATCAGCAGGTTGTATGGCTAAGATTCACTTTTTTGATATAATATAGTTAATTCAATGCAGATATAAATGGACCTAACAAAGTCCTAGGTAGCCATGCACCTCCGCATACTTCCCATCAACTGAAATTAAATATATACCTTGAGAAAAATGAGTCTGGAATCCATGTCAGTGTCTGCTTAGAAGTTGAGAACCTACAACATATGTTTCAAAATTAATGTAATAAAAAGAAAAATCATATCAAATTATAATCACCCAGTCACAAGTTGATTAACCAGGATGATATATGTAAACTGCAGACGGTAGTAAAGGTTCATTTGACTAATAAAACGGTAACGACATATATATTGTAAGTTTCAGTGAAAATTATCTTGGGTCTTACTTCAGCCTGCTAACCTAGTAACAGACTCGCCCAGTATTCGTTTGATTTGACAAATTTCTGCCAAGAAATCAGTCAATTAGAAAAACCCGGAATGAAACATTTACCTTCCATAGATGAATTCAACTACTACCCATTGGGAAATTATTTTGAAAAAAAACCTCCAAATTTTTCTGTATAATTCAAATTGTCTCTTAGCTTGAAGCTTTAAGTGCTCAAGTTTCAACCGCTTATTGTTAAACTTAAGTTTATTTTTGTTTGTACAAAAACGGTTTCGTCTCTACCGCTTAAAAGTATTACTCTGAAGCAATTACGAAGCTTGACGTATTAATTAGTAACAAGCAAAGTAACAACCTTCAAAATCAAACTTATTATACCAAAGGTTCTTTGCCTTTGCCAACAAAAAAAGAGAAAAATTTCGGCAAACTACACTTACTTTCTTCCACCAACATTGAGGGTGACGATTTCTCCCAAGTTCATTTCCCACAAAATGTTTTCGGGGATTGCTTTCTTGTTGTCAACATCTCTCCATTATTTCACCTGTCTGAATGGTTTTCAAGATGGCGGCTGTTTATGTATACAAAAGAAAGTGCGCTCTTATTGGTCAGTGTAAAGTCCTCGATATCGTGTAACCAAAGTGACGTAATAAGCTTTTCTGGGAGGTCCGTATATAAAAGTGACAACATTTTTCTGAGTACGAGAGGAATATAACTCGTACGGAAGCCCAAGTTCAATATATGAGAACAAATTCCTAAATAAGAATAGTCTCGTTTGCTCTCGTTTCATTTTTCTCTCACTGACCAATGATATTCTTAGTTATCTTGGTAAGTTTTGCAACAAAAGCATTTCCCGCTAAAACTTGCCAGAACAGCGGTAAATTTACCGGGATTGCACTTAGAAGTTTCAAATGTTTCCACCGTTCAAATTTGAACATTTTTAATGCTTAAACCCCCAAGATTTTTCAGTATAGATATTCTCTTTCAAATTTGGGCCCTGAAATTCTTTTAAATCAAACAGTATTCCGCGATCGTCAACTTTTTGCGTAATTATGTGTTGGTATAAAAGGGTCACTCTCAAAACATACGTTCTTATTTGATAAATTTCTAAAACAATACCTTTATGATCCCTTTTGTGAGTAGCTTCCACTTTGAATGACTCATTGAGCCCATTCAACATTATTTGATGGTTAATTGGAAGATTTTCTTCTCTGGTTAGCCAGTGCTTCCTGATCCACTAAGGCGCATATACTTGTGGCGCTCCATTGATCTCTCTGTGCAAACAGTTGGATCGACGGCCAAACCCCAAGGCCCTCACCAACTGCGGCTCGGGAAATGGGCCTGTACTTCTCTCAAGAGGGGAGGGGGTTCGAAGACTGGCCCCAAAAAATTAAAAAGTAATCGAGCCAAATCGAGCCTAGTTTAGCCCCGGATTCACAAGATATGCTTTGACGAGGAATGAAACTGTATCGAGTATTACAGTGACCTCAAATAAAAACGAACTGCGGAAACAGAGCGGTCTCTTATGTGGAAAGAAGGGAAAAATTGGTCAAATGCCGTTGATTAAAAGATGAGATACTGTGCTAAAATGCCATACTTATGGTTTGGAACGGCATGATTAATTTAATATAAAAAAAAGGGAAAAAAACAAAACAAAACAAAGTATAAACTTTATTGTATTGTCAAATCCTGAATTTGTACACAATTTCCCTGATTCCTAAGTAAATTCTGGATCCCAAGATTGCGCCGATGTAAAGTGATGATAGAAAGGTGTGTTCTTGAGTTGTCGACGGGAGATGCGTGGACAAAAGATGAAATTCTTGCTAAAACTTTGCGTCATCTTCGAAAGGTATCAAGAATGTTCGAGGTAAAATTTGAGCGAAAGGGCTTAATTGAACAGATTCGGCTTTAGCAGGAATTTATCCCACACAAATACACCTCTCTAGAAAAAAATGTTTGCTTTATACGTTAGCAAAGAAGAACCGTCAACAATTGTTGTAAGGAGAAAAACTGCCAAGCATAATTTCCCTTGGACTTTTTTGAATGTCCATGACAAGCCGCGTGTCAAGATATCACGAGCAAATTAAGTCCTCTCTCTGTGTCAACGTTCTTCAGTCATAACTAACGAGCCTGAATCTTGTTGTTGTTTGTAAAAGGTGGAAAAAAATAAGAGCAGATTACCGTTACGCATGCAAACTGCCAAGTGTGTGAGGTTATTAAATGAAAAAGCTGCGATCGCCCCGATCGCTAGGATATCTACTCTAACTCCATACCATAACCCGCCTTGAAATGACGTTTTAAAATAATGTTGAAAACGTAAATGTACTCGATATTGTCTATTATATTACAATATTGTTTATTAAATAAATTTATACAATCAATATTTACTTATTGCCATGTGAACAAGACACTGGCTAACCAATACATGGCACACTTCAGTGGAAAGGAGCGAAAAGAGGGCGCACGAAAATAAAATGTAAACAGTTGTTTCACTGAACAGTAATGGCCATTCTTCGCGCCCTCGTATTAGCACTCGTTTATAACCAACTAACTTTTTAACAAAGACTAAATACTTTTGGGATTAATAAAAGGGGAAAATTAGAATAAACTTTATCGATAGCTGATAGAGACACGTAATCAGCTTTTGTTCTGTTTGTTAATGCTGTAAAATTCTCAGATTTCCAGAAACAATCTTGTTTTCCAAAAGTGAGCCTGAAGGAATATCGATCCTTTCCCCATGATTGGCAATGATTATCACTGTTCCCTGTTTAAGTGAAAAAAAAAACAACAAAAAAACAAAAACAAAAAACAAAAAAAAAACAAAAAACCAATACAAAATTAATAGGTACAGTCTAACTTGCAATAGCAGGCGTCTTTTTGTACAAATTTATTTCTCTCCCCAGCCTTCCGCTGCCGTAAAAATCAAAGGTGGCAGCCAGAGGATACTGCGCAAACGCCCTCCAAATCACGCCTGCTCTGCAGGGATGATACAATCTGATCCATTCAAAGCCATATAATAAATAGGATGACATTTAATAGCACTGCTCTTGTTAGAAACAAAGATATTGACAACTTTGTTTATTAACAGATATTAGGAGAGTTCAACCTCCCATATTTATTTACTTTTCTCAAGTTTTTTTTTTTACATATATATATATATACATTTATTTTTTTTAGTATTTAGGATCTAAAATAGGCTTAAGTTATGCTTTTTATTACATCCATTTTGAAATCACTGGTGGTCCCTGTAATCTGATTGGCTCGAATTGGTACGATTTATTTACGAATCGCACCATATTTTTTGCTCTAAATCGCATCATTTAGCACTTGACTGCGTTTTTGAAACATGACGTCAAAGTCTTTCTGTTTTGCATACAAAATAAGATGTAAAAGCGTTTCCGGTTCCGCTTTTTATTTTAAAAACCGGCTCAGTACTGCATCAGCAAAATATTTGAATTGACCAAGTCCTATATTTGGGCGATTTCAAAATGGATGTAAGAAAGTGGTAATTGAACTTTGTGTTGTGCAATTTTGGTCTGGAATCAGACTTGTGATTTCAAATCAAACTCGCGCTGCGCGCTCATTCGAGTTTGAAATCACGCGTATGATTTCAGCCCAAATTGCACTCCACTCAGTTCAATTACCATTATTTATCACAATTGTATTAGGTTTGGTTAGGTATTTTTTAGGCATAGCAGGTCCACATCAGCTTTTAGGCTGCCTTTTATTCATGACCTGCTTTAACAAATAAACCATGTATGTATGGATGTATGTATGTACGTACGTACGTACGTGCGTATGTATGTATGTATGTATGTATGTATGCATGTATGTACTTGTGTATGTATGTATGTATATTTACCTTACAACAGACCTTCCTTTGATTTGTCATGACCTACCTTCAAAGACACTCCTTTACCAAATGTGACGTCCCCAGACACTGTCAAATGATCCAGTTCAATTAAATCTGGAATGGTCTCAAAACGATTCAAGAAATCCTTCACCTGTTGACAAAAAGAAAATCAAATAAGAAAGGAGCAGGTTCCTTACAGGCGTCAGCAAAGAAGAGAAAAAAGAGGACAGAGAGACTTCGCTAAAAATGACTACAAAAAAGAGAGACAACGAAATGGTAGCTACAAGTATCCCTTGATTTCAAGAATACAAAAAAGAGCTCTAACATTAACTACTGTCCACGTACCTTTTTAAAATGATCACCGCTGAGCTGCACTATGGGCACAGACGGAAACTGTCTCAGCGGACTCATCTCGAGCCGACCGTGCTTCATGTCATACAGGTTCGACATGACCAACAGTAGATCTGAACATGTCTTGACTGGAAGGAAACGTCTTCGTGGTACGATAATACCTACATAGCCAGAGAGGGGACGAAGAAATTTTAACCAAAGAAATAAATAATGGGCTTGTAATTCGCTTGGTTTTCTATTTGGGGGAAAATGGTTTTTGATAGGGGGTAGAGTGACAAAAACTACCCCTATACCACCCTTCACTCTTACCATGTGCTCCTTCAAAGTTTTTCATGGCAGCACCCACGGCTGTCTCCAGTTGAATAATACGCATTCCATTATCAAGGGTCTACAAGGACAGAGACGTAATTAATTAAGCTACAGAACAAATTTTTCCGAGCTCTATAATGCGATAAACCCACGCGGGATGTTGGGAACATTATTATGACCAATCCAAGATCTTCCTACCCCCACCCCCCAAGGTAGTAAATAGTGACTGCTCTCCAACTCACTTCTGATAGATACAGTGCCTACGTTTTAAATTTTCAAAACAGTATATGTCAGTTTTTAACCGCTCGTGTGCAGTTTAACGAACAGTAATGACACTGCAAAAGTAGCCGAAGCAATAGCAAAGACTGCCAGATCCTCACATGTTATACTTTTTTTAGATCATAAAAACCTACTGAACAGTCTAGTTTGAAGAATGAAATCACACCTTGTTGTTGATAATAACTTCCATGTGCATCTTGTCCTCCTCTACAAGCCTCTTAATTGCAGCCAACTTCATCCACAAATTGTTGGTGTTGAAGATTCTAACCATGAAAAGCAAAAGTCACAAGAAGTAACTCTTACTCTACTGCAGAAACACACAGCATCTTTTTCCCACATTAAGAACTGTTTTGTCCTCTCCCCAGAATTGTTTGGACAAGAATTAGCCATAGAACAAATGAAACATACCTGAATTTGTTAACTGACTTGAATTCATCAACCTACAAAGGAGATTTTCATTTAATTTTATTGTCTCAAATCAACTTGTGATTTACTTTCATGTTTCTTTACGTGCCAAACGAATTTACACAGTATCATAGGATATAATGTTGCTGCCCTCTATATCTGTATGTGCAAAACATACCACAAAAGAAACATGCCACTTATATTTAACTCTATGAAAAGTGGACTCCTGTCTCCAACAGTTTATTTTGCAGTGTGACAAGTGATGTGCATTGTAGAACATTAAAATTTTTTTCTGGTAAATTTAAAGAAAGAACCATTACTTACATGTTCTTTAGGAACTTGTGCAATTTCGAAAAGTCTTTGTTTTCCTTCATATTCTATGAGGGTTCCTCCCTATAAAAATAGAAATTCCTCTTTCATTTTTGTAGTAAATGCAAGATTACAATCCACAGGTGGATTTCTGGATTTTATAATGCAGTTATCATATCTGACTTAAGTATTAAGAGTGCTTTTCCATACCTTGACATCAGCCCGTGTTTTATCCGTGACTTCCATGACAAACTCCGGTGCTGGCGATCGCGAAGGATTTAACATGTAATTCAAAATATCTGAACATGGTTAAAGACACTTGAGTTCCTCTAAATACATAAATAATAATAATAATAAATAATAATTTATCAATGGACTTTCCACTGGGTGGCTCTTCTTGTCCATTTCGTTTTAATCCTTTAAGTCAACCCTTGGGTTAAAAGGGTTGAGTTATACCTTTGAGGAGGCCTACATCAATGGTAACCTTAGAATCTTGAGTGTCCTGCAAAATATCAGCTATGATTAAAATCTAGGCAGCCATTTCCCTAGTCTGCGCCAGGCTCATTAGTGACAAATGGTCACAGTCTAAGGAAGAGTTAGAAGAAGTGAACAAAGGGACAATTTCTATACGTCAAGAGAAACCAAAAAGAATGACAGGTCAAACATAGCTGCACTATGGTTCTTTTTAGGTCAAGCAAAATGATTTGGGAAAAGTGTAAACCTTTCTTTAACTGAATTGAATTTATCCTACAAGAGTCTTGTCATTGAAATTCCAATGACATATTGAGGAAGAGGAGGAAAATAATACTTCCTGTTTGAGTGTGTTGTCACACTTCTGCAATCTTTTAACAGTGTTAAAGGATATTTATATCTACTGTGGCTCCCAAGTTGTCAATATTTGACACAAATATGAACTCTTTGCCTTCATCAATGAATTCTTGGACAAGTCCTGAGTTGTAGAATGAGCGATAAATATCACCATGGCCTGGAGGGTACCAGCTGTTTGAGGAAAGAAATACAGTACAAGCATCAGATTTCTATCTTGTGGTTCAATTATACTCGAGGTTAAAATTTTGTTATATTTTCCATTAGGATATAACAATGCATAATAATCCATTTGAAACAAAACATGAATAATATTCAAGTAGAATTAAAATTTGGCTGCAACATATATCGATTGAACTGCAATCGCACATGGACACCATAAAGGAGGAGGGGAGAGGAGTTCAGAGAGATGATGGAAGGACAGAAAAACTGAGAGAAGGGGGCTCAGAGTAGCTAAGAGAGATGATAAAGGGATAGAGAAAACTGAGGGGGGAGGGGTCAAAAAGGGAAGAGAGATGATGGAAGGACAAGGAGAATAAAGGGGCGAGGGGTCAAAGGAGCTAAGAGAGACAATGGAAGGAGAAAGAGAACTGAAGGGGGAGGGGTCAGAGGAACAAAGAGAGATGATAAAAAGACAAGGAGAACTGATAGGGAGGGATCAGAGGAGCTAAGAAGGATGATGGAAGGACAAGGGGAATTAAGGGGGGGAGAGGTCAGAGGAGCTAAGAATGATGATGGAAGGATCAGGAGAATTGCTACCAATTTACTAAAGAAGCAAGGAGTTGCAATGCCTTGTTTTAGGTTTGAAATTTGTGATTCTAGGGCTATTTTGGTTAGAAATCCTCGCAAAAATACAATGGTGGCAATAGAATTATAATGAATAAAGGATATGCAAAAACTGTCTGGAACTCTTTTAAGTGTTGAGTTTTTAATAAAAATGGGAAGATTTATGAGCTTTTTTGGTTCAAGAACTGTACAATAACCTTTTTGGAGGTATAACTTTGCACCTGCCACAGACTCATGCACCAAAGTACTTCTGCTGGGATCTCAGTCCCACAAAAAATTTCCCACTGGGATTAGTATTCCATCTGCTCTTAATTCTACTCTGATGTATGCATCTGGTATTGCTTACCACTCAATATTTGACTCATTTTTCTGAGCTCCTATGAGTCTAGGTAAGGGAAGGAGAGACTCCTTTACAATGCGGGGATGTTGACTCTGATTAAAGCAATGAATTTTCACATTATTGGCTTTGTACTTTCTCAAGGTTTTCTGAGTCTCTTCATGTGTGTTGAAGGAGTTCATGAGGACAAGTGGAACAGAGCAGCCATACTTGTTGTTTAAATGCTGTGAAAGAAAAGGCGAGAGGCATCATCAATCAGATCTTCAACTTCAAGGCTTCGTAAACCCCTGAAGTGATCAACATGTAACTTCTCCCTATGAGATCCATACATTATCCAGCAGACAAGTAATGAGAATATCTAATGTCATCAGGTACATGTAGAAGTTGATATCTTGATCTAATACCAAATTCTCCCAACTAATTTACGAGGAAATGTGTAGCAGCTAGTGGGGAGAATTTACAGTCAGATCTTGGGAGTTAAAGGGTTAAACGTTTTGTAACTCTCCTTTCTAACTAGTCCACCCAAAAAATAATGAGGCAATGATTTCACTTGGCCCTTTAATCCCTATGAGGATTAGCATCTACTTTCTCCCAGAAGTATCACTGTTGAATCTAACGTTAGGGTCAAGAGAGTAAGAGAATTGATTTACTAGAAGCTCTTGATTGAAAAGCAAATTCTCCTTGTAAGTACTATAGAAAATGTATAGGGAACAGTTTGGAGAAAAAGGATGTTATTGTTAGGGTGTAGAGAGTTACAGCTGCAAGAATTATTAACCCTTTAATTGTTAATTCTCTCCTCTAACTGCCAAAAGCTGCCCTGTAAAATCATAATTTGGTGTTAGATCAAGATAACAACTACCAAATAAGTTTGAGTATTTTCATTACCTGTTAGCTGAATAATGTTTGGATTTTAAAGGGCAAAGTTACATGTTGAACATCATTGATAACTGTTTTTTGAGTTTTTATAGATGAAGAAGAAGAAGAAAACTTTATTTAACGAGGATAAAATACATTGATTACTGGTAACCCAGTAGTTTTCATAATGGCCTTCCTACAATTAATTTGTAAACAAGATTTGTAGAGTGTGCAGGTGAGAGAACAATAGGACACGTAGTCCCCTACTAGGTTCACCTACCTAAACCAACCCCAACCCACCTATCCCACCCCAGGGGAGGACATCCATCACACAGTAATCTCATGCGTGGGAAATTAACGTTTCCTCCCCCTAACCCTGCAGGAGACGGACCTCCAATTATTCGTCCCTATCCAAGAAGACTAGAATATCTCACCATTTCTTGATGTTATAAAAAGGTAGCATATTCTTCTCAATTATTTTAAGACCTTGAGTGTTGGTCCGGCCGGGGCTCAAACCCTCAGCCTTCCGCACAACAGTCCAGTGCTCTATCCATTGAGCTAACCTTGAGGTTCAATAGAATTTGTGGTCCTAACCCTTTAACAACCACAAGTGAACAAGACAGAATTTTTCTATATATCATAGCAATGCAGTATCAAGCAGAATGAGAATATAGAGTTAGATAAATTAAGGGATCATAAGTTGATCCAATACCAGATTCTCTGAGCTAACATCACAAGAATTTTTTGGCAGAGAGTAAGGAGAATTCATCATGATTCAGATCCTGAGAGATAGGAAGCATCTCACATTTCATTCCAAATGTTATTTTTGTTACCTCAATTTGCTGAACATTCATGTCTAGGAAGGTTAAATCCCGACGTAACGAGATCAGACTTTTGGGTCCAGTACATCCCATACTTGTACCTAAACCTCCATTAAGTTTGATCACCACAAGTCTATTGAGGACTTCCTTAATAGTGCTTGCTGGAACCTCTGGTATCTCATGATACATAACAATCTAAAGGAAATCAGTGACACGAGCTTAACATTCAATGGAAATAATTCTCCTTTTTTATAAACAGTAGAACCTCAATTTAATGAACCTATCTATAACAAAGTCCTTGGTATAATGAATGATACTTTAGTTTCAGCCTGGCTAAAGTTACAGTAAAATGTATATCACAGAACCTCAATATAACAAACCCTCGATATAACGAACCAATTTCCCCAGCCCCTTCACTTCATTAATTCAAGGTTCCACTGTATGTAGTGTATTGAATATTAGTGTGTACCACACAAGTGAAAAGTGCTTTTTGCACCTGCTGATTGGCTAGTTTGGAAGTGAACAGCAATTGCTATTCATCTCCAAGCAGCCAATGAGACCAAAAATTGCACATCAAGAGTGAAATTTCCAACCATTTTTTGGTATTTTGAAAGATATGAACATATGCTAAAAATTGATTCACCTTACTGTCAGAGAAAGTTGTTGCAGATCGCAAACGCCTTAATATTCTTTTTCCTTTATTCCTCTCATTCAAATAGTGCTAATTGTAGTAAAATTTTGTCATTATGTAACATTACGTAACATTCCATGTATTCATCATAGTTTGTGCAGTTTATTCCAGTTTTGCCCAATGCAGTTTACTCTATTTTGTCATTTGCTTCATGCAGCTCATTCGCTGCTAGGTAGGGATTAACAATATTGCAACAAATGTAAGTTGTGTGTTATGTAATTTTCATTGTTGTTTTCTTGTAGCTTTCCTAGTGTACTTAGCTTAGTTTCTATTGTAATAGGTTTTCATTCACCGTTTTATTTGCAGTTTTAACCGTGTCGTTTTCTGTGTTGAAAATTGTGTTAGAGTTGTTTTGCCTAAAATAAAAGAATAAAGGCTGATAGTTTCGAAAGAAACTGTTTGGGGCTGTGTCGGTGGGAGTAACGAAATAATTTGGATATATCAACAAAGTTGAAATGGTAAATTGGCCACCGTAATGATTACAAAAGCTGACGTTTCGAGCGTTAGCCCTTCGTCGGAGCGAAGGGCTCCGACGAAGGGCTCCGACGAAGGGCTAACACTTGAAACGTCAGCTTTTGTAATCATTACGGTGGCCAATTTACCATTTCAACTTTGATGATATATCCAAATTACTAAAATAAAAGAATCAGTCACCCGTGGCAGTTATAATGGTGGATATTTATCTTGCCACTTTGCAACTCATCAACTTTAGCAACAACCACTTGTGCCAACATTAGTGAAAGTACTCAAACCAAAAAATATTGAATACCACAAGAGCTGTTATATCTGAGTTATTTTACATTGTCTTAGCAACACTTTCTAGATTTAGCAATTGTTATATGAATACAGACTAAAGAATCACTGTTTTAGTATCTTCTTAGCAGGTTGGATGACCAACTACATGTATTCCTCATGTCTTTATATGGGTGGTTCATGAATGTTCTACTCACAGATCCTTCTGGAGGAGGTTTGATTTTGTCCCAAAGTACTGATGGACCTTCTTCCTCAAGATACCTGGCAAACAACTCTTTGAAGCCTTTCATATTCTTCAATGCATCCTAAAAAGCAAACCAACAGTCCAGTGTTTTGATTGTCTCAAACATATTTGGGAAGGTGTGAAATGATTATGGTCACCTAGCTGATTATATGGCTTTCAGCAAGTATTGTCTCATTGGTAGAGACAAAATATTCATCAGCCAGGATGCAGAATTTCCCTGGCTAAATTTCAATGACCTGAGCAATTTCTTTTAATTCAAGAATATTCTCTTTTTACTTGAAAATATTCCCCTCAGCTCCTACATTTCTTGATGAAAACCCTTGATTAATAACACTGAGCTAAAAGCTGCATACATCACATTAATTTGGTCCTAAAAATTACATAACTGATTCGAAAATTTTTTAACACGAAATGCCCATTTTCAATGGGGTGAAATCGGTGATCTGGTCTTGATTGCCTTATTTTTTATTAGCTATAGATAAATCAACCGAGGTAAAGATTTGATTGCTTTGTTTTGAGTTAATAATCTTAGGAAGTAATCAAACATATTTTCCACTTTTGATTGTGTTTTTAAACTTTTTCTCTCTTTCTCAGTTCGTAGGCAACGAAGACATCTATTATCCTGCATCAAAAATATAAAACTTGAATAGATTTCAACAGGAAAATAAATGCCTTGGGAGGCAAGGCAATATTGAGGTGTGGTTTTGAGGTCCTGGTACCTGAAGTATATTACCGGGAGAAACTTTCTGCTCCCTGAGAGGATAAGCTGTTTATCTTTATTACAATGCATCCCTAAATTCACATTTTAGACAAAGGTAAGAATTTATTACCCCAGTAACATGTTAGGCCGAGATTAGTGTTAGTGTTTGCACAGCTGTTTTGATACAAGACCTTGAAGGTAGTTTGCAACTCTAAAGCCCTACAAATACAGTTCAGAGAGACATTACCTCTTTCTTATCTTCTGGTGCTGTTTCAAGCAAATTCTTCAATTCAGTGTCCATTCGTTCAAAGGCATCTCTACGAGCGAGAGATTTGAATTCGACCACAGGATCTGACTTTTGATCTGCAGAAGTCGTCTAAAACAAACGAATAATCAATCGCAGTCACGACTTTGCTTGCGACAGAAAAAGAACATTCACAACCACATTGCATCTCACGGCTTACCATGATCTGTCTACGTTGTAATGAAGCCAATTATTCCATAACAAAGGATACAAGAAATAAAATATTTATCGTAGTAGCCTGTGCTGAGAACAACCTCATTGGAGTCTGTACCCAGACTTCTCACGTGCAAAGAAAATAGAATGCGTGATTCCGTGACATCTCGCGAGACTTTGCCCCATTTTCGTGTTTGATTGTTTTCTTTGTTTTAGAATTTTTTTGGTATTTAAACTGTAAAAAGGACGATAGACGGTTCATTGTAGCAGAGACTCATTCGTATCATTTTGGAGAAGGATTACAGAATCATTCTACCAAAAATATAGGTATCATTGAATATTTATAACCATGTTTTCGTCGGTCCCCATGCAAATAGCTTCCTCTCCTGTTTGAGAGATCAGTTGTTTTCATTTCAAGGGTGATTAACTTCAACCCATTTAGTCTCCGAGATCTAACATTTTCTTCCAAAAGGGCGCTTGACATCCTTTCCAGTAACTCCTCTTAGCATTGCGATCGCTGTTTCCATATTTTCAGTATCGTCAGTGTAACTAAATTGTATTGTGTGCTAATATGGCATTTCGTAAGGTTAATCAACCATGGCAATAAATCACAGCAACTCTAAATATAGCAACTCCAAATAACTCGACCAAAATAGGACAAAAACATGCCTGGGACTCTTCATGTTTGTTTCTACTTTGACTGTAAAAGTTGCTCCTAATCGGCCTCAAAATTTCGTAGCTGCATCATTTTTTTTGCCTTACACCCGAGGTATAATAAAATCCTTCGATATATTAATTCAAGCAACGTTGAAAATACCTTAAATGATTTCCAGACATCATTTTTAAAGTCAAGGTTGTCTACTGTATTTGAAGCCATCGTTGTTCTTTTAAGTTAGTGGTTGAATGTAGTAAACCAAGTGAAGCCTGGGTGGAATGAATACTGTTAATATTAACCATGAGATGACGCGGCACGATAACGTGACCCTCACATGACTCTTCTCCACCCCGGGATAAAATGTTCCGAGGTTACGTGCGCGCAGGGAGGGGGGGATGTAAGTCACGGTAAGGGCAACTTTGCTAATAAGCAAAATCCTATGACAATGAATGTCTTCCCCCCCCCCCGAAATGACTCCAAGGTTTATGCTACACTCTGATAGTTCACTCCTAAGCAGTCTTCAAATTTGTGATGGAAATCTGAAATGACGACTACAATTGATGATTTTATAGAAAGAAGGGCCACAAAGAGGAATTCGTGCATCGACGTGCTGGACTTTTCCCCTTGCGGTTCGGGTTCCCCCACCCCCAGTAACTGAGCAACTCACATGATAAGAGTGAGGTAAATCTCAGCGGGTTAAAACAGTTTAAGACGTGAGTTTTAATCGTGAACGATGAGTGACAAGGTATTCCTTAACGTTAAACTTCGGTTTAAACAGTCCAGAATGAGCAGAAAGCCTCAAAAAGAGATTTCAAATGATTCCCCCAGAATTCACTGATTGGCTGATTCGAAGGTGATAGCCAAGTACTATTCACCTCCGAACAACCGAAGAGAAAAAATCGCGCGTCAACGATTAAAATTTTGAAAAAATTTCGGCATATTGATAGATATAAATTGGTTTTTTTGGCTTCTGTGTGGCATGCGCGATGCGGTAAGTATCCACCACTTTTCACCTCTGCTTCGGTGAATAACTGTTAACTATTCTGAAATTGTCAAAACGAAGGATGATAGGAAGTCTTTTAATTATAAGACATAAGAGAAATCGGTTTTTATGTAAAATATCATTTACATTGGGAAATTTGCCTTCTTTCGACCTCTGCTGGTTGCTAGTTTACGCAGCATTGGTACAAAAATAAAGGCTTATAGTTTCCAAAGAAACCGTTTGGGGCTGCGTCGGTGGGGGTAACGAAATAATTTGGATATATCAACAAAGTTGAAATGGTAAATTGGCCACCGTTAAGATTACAAAAGCTGACGTTTCGAGCGTTAGCCCTTCGTCGTTAGCCGTTCGCTCCGACGAAGGGCTNATGCTAACTGAAAATGGCTTCCTTTGAAAGTGTGCAACAGCACGTGCTTTTTAACTTCTTTATCATATAAGGGGCAAAATTACTGAATTGTGATTGGTCAAGACAGAGGGCATTTTTTCTTAATTTTTGTAATTGCCCCGGGCAAAATTACTTGAAAATGATTGGCTGAAAATCGCTTAGCAACGGCTGCCAAGGTAAAGAAATTTCTTTTTTTTTTTTGTAAAAATGGCGTCCCGTTTTGCGCGAGATCAGTAAGAAAACATTTTGCCCCTTATATTATAAACAAGTAATCACATGGTTCCTCGTAAAATTAAGGATTAATATCACTTGTGTTTTCGGAAGTTGCAGAAACTGTCCTCGTCGCTGCGCGTGATATTAATCCTTAATTTTACTCGGCCCCATGCGATTACCTAAATTTGTCGGAGACTCCCCGCGCACTCGCACGCAACCTCAAAATAAGTGATTCGTATACTTATTTCGAAATCGCGGAATTATCCGAAACTATCGCGACCAAAACGTAACATTGCTTCGGGAAGCGTGAACATTTCTTCGGGTTACCAGGCATCCACGAAACATTGTAGGTCCTATCCTGCCGGTTTACAACTCAGTAAGTGAGTACAGAAAAGAAACAAAGAAGGATTTACTGGATCAAGACCAATACAAAAAAAAAAAACAAAAACAAAAACAAAAACAAAAAGACAAAACGCTCCAATTAACACTAGTTTTAAGCATGCTAAGCGATGATCACCTATTATCTTCATATCATTCATGTCACTTTTTTTCGGTTATTCATGGGTGCTAGGTACTAATGTACGGGTTAATTCGTGATTTACTTACAGCCAATCTTGCTAGCTTGCCAGGATCTCATTAATGCTGTGGTACGAGCGTTTGCCCGCGAGCAAGTTTAACAAATCGAATTAGCACGTGATCTGCAAGGGAGCTAGTTATCTGCAAAACCACTTGCGGACATATCGCCGGCCATCGTTCCTCAAACATTTTCGTGGGCAAAATTATGCTTTTACCAAAGCGCTTAGGTGGATGGCCCGCTCGAAGACTGGTTAGATTTAATTCAGCTCTTATCAGAGACTGATAAAACACAAGAGCGAAATGTATATTTCGTTTGGAATAATGATCTGCCACTGTATTGTTTCGCTTAGCTAGTATGCGAAATTGTCACTTGTTCTGCTGGATCGTAGACCATCAAATACGAACTTTATTTTCTATTTCTTTTAAAGGCCTCCTTTTCACAATTAACAGAAGTTGTTGCCATCGCTAGTTGAAGATGCTATCGCTTCCAAAGTAACTCCTAGCTGAACTTTGAATACTTCCATTTATTACTGCAAAATCAGTGATATGATAACAATAGATTTCAATTTTTTAATGGGTCTGTTCGTCTCCCTCAGCGTTGGGATTGTTCATTGCATTGGCTTCTCAGCTGGAATACAGATTGCGCAAACTGACGCTTGCCTAGTTAGAGAAAAACTGGCCTGCACACAGCCGCCCCCAATTTTTTTTTTCGGGAGGGAAGGGGGCGGCTGTAAAAGGCCAAGGAAAGCAAACGAAATAGATTCTCATTCAAATTAACTTTATTCAGCACCGCGGGTGGCTTAAAAAAGCTTCTCACTTGTTCAAAAGTATTATAATTTCCTGCAAACTCTAGCATAAATAAGGTTGATTAGCATCAAACTATTTTTTGCACTCCTTGCGTTATTAACAAGAACCCCGTTCTATCAAAACTGGCGATTGCCGGTTACACTCTGTTACATGTTACACTTTACAAGTTTAACAAAACCTAAGAAACTAATTTGAAGAACTGTTTTAGCACGTCTTCTCAATTTGAAAACCTCGAGAAGCTGACAAAATTTGCTCAACACCTGTGCAGAATTAAAATTGCGACAAATTAAAAGAAGACAGATGAAAGTGCATAATGGATGCAGTGAAATTTGAAGAGATATAAACGATTTCACTCCAATTTCTAATTAGTGGATTATTCTTCGGGGGAACATTTCTGTGCCAAGGACACTTCATTGTGCTCACAGCATACCCTGTATAGATTGAATAACAAAAGGAGCAAAAAACATTTCCCACGTTAAAACGAACGGAAAACAGTGAACCATAACAATTTTAGTTCTTTTGTCAGCCTTTCCCCGTTTGAATATAAAGTTGAAAGCTGAGTCCTGATATCGAAGAGTCACCAGGTACCCTGCAGGCTCTGGTTTCAGAAATATACTTTGCTTGACTCTTAAAAGCTTTCATAACAATTAATTTAAAAAAATAAAAAATCAAATTGTCCAGATGTAGAAGTTTATCGCTTTTGGCACTCGAGTCTGTGTTTGATCAGAGTTATGAAAAATTTAAATTTTCGCATTTTTTTCTGAAAAATGCTTTTAACTTTTCTGTCAAATATTTTTAGCAAGTTGGAGACAAGGAAGCGAAATCTGAGGTAAAGCAGTTTGCCGTTCGCGTTAACAATAAACAAAGTTGTGAATACATCAACTATGCAAGTAAATATGGTGTAAACACCAAGGTTTGTAATTCTCCTTGTTGACTTTTGAGCCACTCAATCAATCAAGATCGCCGACATCATAAGCGATTTGCATTTTTTTTTTTTTTTGGTGCGATTTGTTTTCATCGCTACACTGTTATCTTGGCACGGAAATACAATTACATTACGACTTTGCCCGTTCGAAAACAACTTAATTGAGCCCTCTAAATGCCCGGCGTATTGAGATTAGCTGTAAAGCAAAGAAAACCAACAAAACTACATAAAAATCACTGGAACACGATTATCCTATGTAAATTTACAATCTTTTTCGCTAACTATGTCTAAATATGTCTTACTTCCCCAAAATATTAATTTGTCCTATTAAATACAAATCTGATTTAATTTATCCTTTACTAAATTACTCCTCCATTAAATCGAAACACTCAAGTAAACAAGAAAATACTCCAATTTGGACTAGATATCTGAATGTTTGACACCCTTATTTGAATTCGATCCAATATTTGATAATAGAACAATTTTCAGTTTAGTGTCGAAAGAAATCTGGGATTGTTTTGGTTTTACTCAACTTTGCTCACGTGATTGATCAAGAAACATAGCGCCATCCTCTCAACCCAAGGCCTTGCTCTAAGAAAAAGTGAAAGGAGCCCAGTGCTCTGAAACTTTGAAACACAGGGTGCCCACCCTATGTTTTTATATAAAGCCACTAAAATTCCCAAGTCGCCCAAGCGCGAAAGTAAGGCGCCAGGGGCCACCGGGCGCTGCTAGACCACAGCCCTGCAACCAATCAGATGCAAAACATAAAACAATTGCGCGTTGGTCATCTGTGTTTTCCCGCGCTTCAAGCAGTTTGCTTGTTTCACCCCGAGTTCTTATTGGTTAATGACAATGTAAACCTCTGTTCTGATTGGTCGTAGTGATTACCTTGATTTGGTGTTTCGACACTCAATTGAAGACTGCTCTCAACGTTCAAGCCCTAATGCTTCAAACGCTTTCTTCAATAAATTTAAAGACATCTATCAAATTACACCTTCCCTCTGCTGTCTAAAATAAGACGTGTTCTGTGATCTCCTCAAAGCGGATAACCACACTAACTTGTCTAAACTGAGATAAATAAGCTTAGGCTACCCGAAGGGTTCATTTTCTTTTTCTGAAATGCATATAGTCATCTCTTTGAATACACCAAAGGGTTCCTTGTGTCGACTCTAGCAGTCATGTTTTATTCTAAAGGTGCCGTCCGCTATTATTAGGGGCTACTTGTAGTGCTCGGTATACTCAAGGAGGTGTTAAGTAGCTCCGTAAGAACGCAATGCTGAGGGGCTGCCGTTTGGATAGCAGGTCAATCAGTCGCCAGGGTAACGTAGAAGAACCAAGATGAACCTGAAGAAAGAAAATTTCAAATGAAACGAGAGAAAAGCAATATCGATAAATTAAACCACTCAGTGCTCAGTGCAATCAGTTTCTGTGGCACAAAGTGACCCGGTGTATGGATGGAACGCTAATCGCATCGCACTGTCCTAGCTTCCAGGCTTTTGTTAGGTTTCTCTGACTGTTCACCGCTACCCCTGATTGGAGAAAGGCTTGGTGACAAGAGTGTGTCTTACACAAAAACAAACCACAACTAAAACCCAGCAAAGTTCAAGCTTGCACCTTCGATTCGGAGTAAAGCGACCGAAAATTTGGGCAATGGGTCTCCCACGGAATGAAAGTGAAAAGTATGGAATTACCTTTGTAATGTACCACACAAGAGAAATTTCCTGTCCTTCAGCACCTAACGGTTCCACAATCCATCCACTCGACATGATCTGTGTATGAAAAGAAATAACTCTGTTCAATGTTTTGCCCTAAAACAGCAGAGAAAGATAGCCTGACAATCGTAGAATATTTTATCTGATCCGGGATTTCTTCCACATTTGCTACTGGTCAAACTGCTGTTATCACCCAAAAGTGAAACACTTAAAATTATTCATAATAATCCATTCTAGTGCTACCCGTTTGCAGAACGGAACAAATCTGCCCCCCCCCCTCCTAAAAGTAACTCTCCACAGTGGGGGTCTGGTCTCGATCCACGGTTCTTATCACCAACCTGTCCCCGAATAATTGAAGGTGACAGAGGACACTTTGGATGTTCAATCGACTGAGATGCAAGCACGTACTTGTCACCCTAAAACAAAAACAAAACAAAACAAAAAAACAAAACAAAAAAAACAAAAGTTAACAAAATTAATACAAAACCGCCATTTTCAGTTGGGATTGCAAAAGTTATGCATTACTTTAATCCGTGGTTGGTCAATGAAACGTTCGCCATCCTCTCAAACATTCAGATGTTTTCCGACACCCTCCATTCAAAGCAATAGACTAAGCATTAAACCACCGTGATCGCACAAAAAACACCAAGTGGAGGAGGTGTAATTCAACTTACTTCCACGCGTTCTTTGGAGAGGTAACAGAAGTCACGTGAATGCGTCATAAAGCACTGAGACGTCTCATGAAGCATATACACTGAGACAAACAAACATTATACGTAAGTGGCGAACACTGAATCTCAGGGAAGATCAGTGCGTGATTTCTAAACTGCAAAATTTTTAACAATCGTCTAGTAGACAAAAAAAGGAGTGACTTGACCAAACATTTGTCTAAAATAATTCAAACGTCAAGCAAAGACAATATTACGACGTTCGACTAAAGTAATTTGAACCTAGATAAGCAGGAGGGCTTCAGGTTTTGAACACAGGTTTCGTGGTAAAACAGCCAAGCTGATGTAAGTCGTGCGACACTCTTTGTTTAATTACATTTAAACCTTTCATTGGTTTTTACTTCAGTGTTCATCTATCTAGCATTTAGAAACTTCTGATCCGCTTCATTTTCGGATTTGAGAATGTTAGTCAAACGTAGAAAATTCGTCCCTTTTTTTAATTTTTTTTTTTTAAAAAATTATTCGAGCAATATTTACCAGGGAATGGATATTGTTTGGAAGTTACACCGACTGTAAAAAAGTCTTAACTTACCAATTTTCAGTCCTTCTTCTACATGTTCTACAATATTTATTTTCTGCAACAAAAAAAAAAAGAAAAACAACAACAACACTAATTGAGAGGTAAATCGCCACAACAAATAAGCCTCGTTTAGCAAAAAAAAAAACAAAACAAAACAACGAAAAAAACCAAAACAAAAACAACAAAGTCTCACCAATGTGCAGTTTAAACTATCAAATCTGAATGCACGAAATGTTTACCTTAAGCATGTTGTCGTAAATATATCTGGACAACGGGTTCTTGACTGCCTCCCACACGGTCTGCGGTGGCGCTGAGATGACTCCTCGCCCCATAAAACTGAAAAATCAACACACAGTTCCGGAGATAGAGTAAGAAAGAATCCAAATTACCACGTATTTTTCTTTTGTTATTTAAAGTATTCTTTTACTCATCAACAACTACAACTTTCTCACCAGTGTAGTAGACCGCCACTATACTCTTCCCTTTTCCGTACGATGGTGACGTCTTTCTGAGTACTGTAAAACCTAAAGGAGACAAGAATCGTAATCATTAAAATTAGCCTTCAACTGAGTTAAATCAGTAAGGAAAGCGATTGAAATAGATCGAACATAGTGTATTATTTGTCCCAGCTTCATTACAAATCAAATATATACTTAAATAATGTCCATCAGCTTTTATTTGCTGGAGGCTGAAAACGGTCCGTTTATTTGGAAGAATATTTTGGAGAAAGAATAACGAAAAAGCTCACACACACACACATGACAATTTCAAGTGTTGCTAGGATGACGCTATACCACACCTTTCCTCAATTTGAACTTACGCCTGCGAGGCTTTTTCAAATTCTTGACAGCCCAGCAAACTCGAATCCTGAATGTACATCTCGACGGGAGAATACTCGCTGATTTCAGAGCACGAAAACACGAAAAAAAGGAACATAAATGGTTCTTACGTCCATCCACCGTGAGAAGAGTCGGCCGTTGGACGCTGCGGAGACCTAAAAGATGACGGTGCCGTTCTAAGCATCTCTGGTATACCTGAGGCAAGTAGGGCCTGAAAAAGATAAACGTTCTTTGATACATTTCCTTGTATCATCACCTATTAATTTCAGGGTTCGTATACATTTCTGCGTGAAAACTGTACGCTTCTTAGAATGTACCAAGGTTGTTTTCGTAAATCGGGCTACCTTTAAGAGACTGGGTATAAATAATTGCTCTGATGACGCAGCTACCTTTAAAATATTTGCACCTTGCAACCAATGAACAACATGACATAAGTCGCGTTACCAACCTCTTTTAAGACCTCTGCCGCAGCCTGGTTACCAATGACACGAAATTTAACGTGAAGCCGATTTACTGCAAGTAGATGTAAAATGAGTTTACATAAATTATCTCGCACAACGAGAACTTCATATAATTTAATTGAGATCTGACGTAGTCGAAATGAGCTTACCGAGAGGTTTCTCTATCACTTCATAGTCTTCAGTTCTGCAAAGAAAAACAAAAGTGATCACAGGCGATAAGTAGTGAGGCAGAGAAGAACGCAGATTTTAATTTAACGTGAATTATAGATTATCATGCAGGGTCCTTACATATTTCTGCGTACTTTTTTTTGACACCTTTTTTTTCCAGTTTGTCCAAACCAATACTTCAATTTTCAGACTCGGGTTTATTACTACGATCACCAAGCACGATACTGAGGTAATCCTGCATCCAGCAATTGAGCACAAATCTTTCCATTTTCTTCAGTAACGTTTATTTCCTTTGTCCGAAAAAGTAGTTTGCAAATTTCTGTACTAAGAATCGAGGATTCTGTGGTTTACGCGCTTTCAATTCTTCATCAGCAGGAGACTGGGTATAAGTAATTGCACTGATGACGTAACATTACGTTTCTGATTGGTCAAAGCTGTACTCGCGAAGACCTTATTTGGTAGCCATGCCCTTTAAAACCCTAACAGGAAAAAAAACGGGGAAAGAGATAACTAAGTAATTCTTACTTAAGATTATCCAAATAGCTTTGTTTCTCTTCCTCCATTTGTCTCTTCAAATCAGATATTTCTTTCTCTTTTTGATGTTTTTGTTCTTTCAGATCCCTCAGTCTCTCCTCGCATTCCTCTCTGTCCTCCTCACTGCTTCGCAGTTTGGCTCGCGCTTCTTCCAGCTGCAGATGAATAATTTCTCTCTCCCGCCGCTCATTTTGAAGCCTACAAACGTCAAAAATAATATCCTTACGCGAGCAAAAGTGAAAGCTTGTACACGAACTAAGGTTTTTCGGATGGTCACGAACGTGGTTCGACGGAAAAATCTGAGTTCTCTTGCGAGGAGCCTTCGACTATCCAACAGAAAAGCAATTAAGCGCCAGGATATACACTTCAAGACCCAGCTCATTTCCATGTGACTCCTTGCTTGAACGCGCACTTCCACTCCCTGAGCGCCTATCACACAGGTTCTCATGTACCTTACTAACAAAACAGCCCTAATTTTCTTTTGAAAAACTGAGTTAAATCGGTAAGGAACTGAAAGGAAACTGAACGTGACAAATCCGTAGCCTCACGGGTGTCTCATCTTACCTCATCTCACTTTCTTCCACTTTCTCGAACGTCTCTCGAAGTTTTCTCGCTTCCTCTTTAAAGAATTCCAGCGCTTCCTCATTGTGCAGATCACCAGATGATTTGACACGAGACAGTCTTCCTATGCGCGAGGTAATCAAACGCCTTTCTCGGGCTCTTTCCACGTGAAACCGTTCCTTCTGGCCGGACAGTTTCAGCAACGCGACCTCTTTTTCTTTAATACCGTCCATCACCTGCTCTGAAATTCTTTTTTGCTGCTCGTGTACTCTGTCTTCGTCTTTCTCAAAGTGAGCTCTTTTAGCGACGTATTCAAGGAATAGGTCATCTTCGTCGCTACCAATTTGCCTTAATCTCCCTTTCACTAAATTTAGAACCTCGAGTTTCTTTTCATCATTTGCTCTGGCATCACTGGTTGTACCGCCTCGTGGCGCATCACTGGAATTCAAAGATTCAAATGTCTCTGTGATCAAACTTTCAATCTCACCATACTCCTTCCACAAAAGTTCCACATAACGTTCACGATCTTGGTCTACCAAAGCAATGTCTCGTTCTTCTTTTACTTTTAAGTTTTCCAAACACATACGAATTTTCTCAGCGTGCTGTTGCCGAGATATTTTGTACACGTCTTCAAGTTCAGTTATCTTAGCTTCGTTTTCCAAAATTTGCCGTCCGTACAACTCGACTTTTGTAATCTCACGCGTTAATTCGCCACGTGTCTTCTCGATAATCTCCTCTTTTTCGTTTTTAAGCTCAAACAATTTTTGCAGTTGTTGTGTTTCTGCATCATCGTTAGCTCCTTCTGAGACAGACAATTTACTCGATCGAAAATTCCAACTGGCTCGTCTGCGCTGCCGCAGATCCAAAGCAACAGTTTTAGATGTCAAACCAGTGTCTGAAATGCTCCGTGTCTTGTCACGGTAGTCAACCTTTGTAACTGTTCTTTCGTCAAAGTTTTCCTCCGAGCGCGCTGAATCACCTACAGAGCTTGGGTAAGTCAAATACTGATCGTGTTTTTCCGCTATTAACTGAATTTTTTGCTCTAACTCGTCAAGCTCGGCTAAATTTTCAGTTAGAGTCGAGTCTAAAGTCAGTTTATCCCGATTTAATTGATCCTCCACCTGAGCTTTGTCTGTTTCAAGTTTCTCTTGTAACTCTAACAACTCGATATGCTTTTCTTCCAATCCTTTCAAGTCAGTTTCCATCTCCAAGGAGTGAAGTTCTTCTTGACGGGCTCGTTCGGACTCCGCTTGGGCAATAATTTTACGCCGGTGCAACTCAATGTCGGCCAATTTCATTTCATATTGAACAACCTTCTGCCATTCGCCCTCCATAAAACGAGCCACTTCTTCCCTCTCCTTTGCTATTTCTTCCGCTGCCTCTTCAGCTTCTCTACACTGTTTAAGTTTCATTTCAAACAAATCCTCCAACTGCTTCTCAATCTCTTTTCTCGAATCCTCGTGTTTCTTGTCCATGTTAAGTCGAACTTGTTCCAGATCCTCGCGCGCTTCTTGAGACTTCCCCTCGTGCAGCTCGCGCAATGCCTGAATATGCTCTTTTTGGCTGTCAATCTCTTTCTGCTTGTTATCGATTTCAGTCTGGAAGGTTTTTTCTATCTCCAGCCTTCTGACTTCTGCTTCTTTATGTCTGGCGATTAAATCCGTAACTTGATTTCTGTAAAAAAAGATCGCGATGTACACAGTTAAAAGCTCAGTCTAGATGGAGAGCTGTACGAGAGATTTACCACCCCTACCCCTCACAGTTTTGTGACGTTGGGCTAGGGCTACCAAATAAGGTGGTGAGCACGTGCGTGTGGAAAAAAAGCGAAAACGGGTCGAGTAAAAAAACAACGAGGTTGTGAGAGCGCGAGTTTACGGAAAGTTTTTCCATCGAATTTAGTGAGAGTTTCCTGAATTAGATTGAAGCGGAAAAAACCAGGAAACCGTGTTATTGCGAGTTCTATGGGCTGTTTTATTGTTCGGCTCAGAGCTAGCTTCGCCCTGGCATAACAAATCTCGGGAACTATGACTCTTCAGATGTTCATAAAGAGTCAAATTAGATTACAGCTTTTCTTTTGTAACCGGTCTGCCAAAAACGTTTTCAAAAAGCTCCCTGACAGTTACTCTTCCTCGAAGGAGGGGTGGGGACTGGGGAAAGAGAGTGGAACATGTTTTTAACTACTTTTCCTTTCTCTCTTTCTTCTTATTCATTTTAACTTTTGTCGAGTAACGTAATAGTTTGTTAGAATGTTACGTTCCACAGGTCAGATGGGATTGGTCTTCACAGACCAATGGACTTGAGAAAATGAGTTTTTAGGCGAGAATGATTTAAAAAGAAACTTACTTGATTTCCTCTAAAGAATCTGGCCCTTGAAGATCGACTTCCACACTGAAATAAATTAAAGCAATGATGAGAAATCTCTCGATGTTCTTCCCTTGATTTTACTGTTTCATCAAAACAACCTTGCAACGTTAACATGGAATAAACTTCATACCCAGAGTCCAAAGTCATCGGTGAAGAGGAATCGGATCTCATACTCAGGTCTCCATGACTACCACGGACAGGTGAGATATGCAAATTAGTCAAAGACTCGGTCGATTCCTGGGGCAAAAAAAAAAAACCAGAACGATTCTGTCGTCTTATACAAGAAAGCGCACAAGTTCCTTCTTGCGTGTGGTCTTCTTTCGTGTTCGCGCGGGAATGGTCATGGGTGAATCTCTGCGCTACCGCCTGTACGATTACGTGATTGCGCGTTGCTTTGTTGACGTTACTTCGCGGAGGAGATAGTCACGTAGTTCTCACCCTTGAGAATTTCACAACGTCAACCGTCACAAGTGATGAGAAAAGACGCGAGTGTAATTTTGACCTAGCATCAAATTCTTTAATCAATTTGTAAGCATGTGCGCAACAGTCAGTGAGTAGAATTAGCCATCGGATATTGGGAATAAAACTCACCGCGGTGTACAAAGCAGAGCGCCGTTTTTCCCTCAGTTTTGCCGCTTCGGTTGGAAAGTTGAATTTGAACACATCGCTCTTGCCAAGAACAATAACATCACCTATGAGAAATCACGTTCAGTGTTTAGTTCCCTTACATATTACCGTTTAAACAATGATCAACAAGAAAATTCTACTTGGGAATGAAGAAATTGACAAGCACAAAAATATGACAATAGGACAAAATCTCACTTCTCCTTAAAATGCGGCTAAATCATATTAAGCTCCAAAAAACCCTCAATTTTAAAGAAGCCCTCAGCTTGGGGATTTCACACCAAACGCCGCCAGGATATTTCTCTGTGGAACAATTTCAACTCACCCTGATTTAATCTTGTCGGCTGAGACACAGCCACTCCGTTTACCCAACAAAGTGAAGAGATCGGCTCAAACGTGACTCGCCCTTTCACAAAATCCAAAACACAGTGTTCTTGGTTGATATCTTCGCCTTCAAGAACTAGGAAAAAAGGCAAGGAAAAAAAAATAACGTTAAAATCCAGATGGTTAACCACTGACATGAGACTTTTCATAGAATTGAACGGGGGCAAAGCAGTCAAGAGGGTACTGGCAGCGAATAGCACGACACAACAGCTCTGTATCGTGCACTTACCTATATCTTGTGGGTTTGGTGCATCTTCTCGGCCAATATGTGTCTTTCCATGCTAAAGACAAAAAAGTTGAAAGAGAAATAAAATCTCTTTGCCAAAATAAAACTGGACCAGAATCAGTCCTTTGTCTTTCCACCGTTTAATTGGGTACCATGTGTCAAAGGTAAACCTGAGCAAATCTACGAGTTTTTAAGCGCTCTTTTTTACTGCGTTGGCTGTTGAGTGAAATCCTCAGGTGATTATCAACAAGAATTCGATGAAGGATAAAGCCGCCTGGGCGAATTTTGAAAAGCGCGAGGATTTACGAGCACGAGCAGAAAGAACCACGATGATGCCTCAAGGCTTTGCTCATACAAATTTGATTTGCTCACAGTCATTCTCTTACCATAACACGATACAGCATTATCTCTGTTCTCAGTGGATCCTCCTCCAATCGAACCAAATGAGGGAGCTCAAGATCAACAAGAACCACGCATGATCCGTGTCGCCGGAGCTGCAACTCGCTCTCCTAAGATATGAAAAAAAAAAAAAAAACAAAAACAAAAGGGACATGATCGTCAATCCAAACAATGTAATCTCCTAGTTTTTTAATCTTTATTTTAAAACGAGCATAACGCAATAGCGATTCTCACAAAGGATCTCATTATCTCGCTGCAAAAGCCTGACAGCTTCCTCTAAGGCTAACTCAACCATCCCTCCCCACACACACACACACCTGCATGATTGATTTGGCCTCTTTCCATTTCTCGGTCCAGTCTTTCGTCAGCTGTTCGACGCGCGCCTGATTTTCTTGAAGTTTCCGAGTAACTTTCATGGGGTCATCTAAAGACTTTCTCTAACAGAAAATAAAAGGAATTACCATTAAAAACTGAATGATTCTGGTAAGAATAATTCGCGAAGAGCGGTTAACTTTACCTCATCACCCGTTCCAGTTCGTATGAGCCCCTTGAGACGCTCGATTTCAGATCTGAGTTCCCGGATGAGTTTGACGTTTGGATCCTACAGAAAAATTGAAATAATTCTAACAGTTACAAAAACGAAATTCTGAACTGCATGAGAGTTGAGCAAAAAAAACTTTACTTGTAATATCAAATACAGCTGAATGCGAATATACGAACAAAATAATGTTCTTTGGCACGATTGTCAACCATGGTCAACACACGTTTTTTTACTTGAACCAAGCAGTACGTTCAGGTAAGCGAGGGATCCGCGCTTGGCATCAGCTGCTTGGTTTCCCGCGCTTGGAAATAGCTGTACAATTTCCCGCGCTTAGCATTACCTCCGTGGTGTCTTGCTTCAAAATATGTCAGTTAAACAGAAAGCATTTCCCCATAAACTGCACGGAAACTAAGCGAACTAATAATGACTTATGAGACGTATATGAGCACGATCCTTCGCAGTAAAGCACTATTTGAGCAATAGTGAAAATCAGACCTGAAAAAAATTTCAGGCCTGTACGGGATTCGAACCACTGACCTCTGCGATACTAGTGCAGCGCTCTACCAATTGAGCTAACAAGCCAACTGGGAGCAGGCCATCAAATTAACTCGACATAAACCCGTAGATGATAAATCAAACAAAGGTCAGTGGTTCGAATCCCGTACAGGCCTGAAATTTTTTTTTCAGGTCTGATTTTCACTATTGCTCAAATAGTGCTTTACTGCGAAGGATCGTGCTCATATACGTCTCGTCACCGCAGTTCACACATATGTTTCATATGTTTGTTGTTGAATGACTTATGACTTGTTTTACCTCGTTAATTGTGGGCATGTTGATGATACTCTTTGCTCGATGTGCGTACCGCAATGTGCTAAGTGTTTCACCGTAGTTGCACTCAGCAGGAGAAATTGCTGAAGAGAAAGAGATTATTCAGTTACAAATTGATCGCTCACAAAGGAATGCAAACAGGAACAACAAGATCAAATCTTCCTTATAAGAAACCAACCTGCAACCATGACAGTCTTAGCGTTTCCTCCCAAACTGTCCTTGAGAAGAAATGTGAGGACAGAATCACGATAAGGTACGAACAGTTTCTTTCTGAAAGAAGGGCGCTTGGTTCCGGAAGAAGACGTATTGATGGAGTTTTCCGCTGAAAGAAAAACAACACAGCTTCACTCAGTTTAATTTACCAGCATTTGTTGTCGCAGATGGCCAATCCAGCTAAGGCGATTTCTCTTACAAGCAATATAAAATTTAGTACATTAAGTTTGGTATGGTAATTGAAAATGGAAGATGGTTTCTTGGTGAGGTTCCATATTCCAATGGAGGAACTGCCCGATAAGACCTGACATTTATGCGAAAAGAAAAAATAACATTTTGTTTACCAAGAGTGGAAATAACAATTCCTAATGTGACAAGAGATTTGTTGATATTGGCTCCTTCTTTCAGCCTTTCACCAGCATTGCCTGTTGAACTAGCGCGCTCACTAGAAAATGAAACCAAAGCAAGTTATAAGTCGGAAGAACATCAAGTATCTGCACATGGCTAAAAGAGAGAGATATGAAGAGAAACACACCTGCCAGCCAGATCTACCAAGTGTATCTTGCTTATTGTTTCACTGGGCAAATCTCCCATGAATCTAGCCTGCAAAATATTTGATACAATAACACAACAACGGTTCAATTAAATCCTAGTTGGGTAAATCTTGGTGTAAATACTGGGGATTTTCTTCTCTACCTGAGTAAATTTGACTGTAAAAATTGCATGTGAACGACTGCTAGTATTGTTCATCTTTGTTGCAGCAGTTGCTCTGAAAGAGAAAATACACAGTTAATTCAAGTAGCAGAAAGGTCTCTTGCAGGGCTACATTTATTTATCATTCCTTAAAAACTTGAAACAACATCTGACAATTGTAGAAGTGGAGTATTGTAATTGGGTAGGCCCGTGGGGGTAGGAAAAAGAACTGATTAACAAGCAAAAAATTTGGTTTCACCGACTGAGTCGATGATGTTAATTGGGCATCTTGAAGAGTCTCTGAAGCTGACGTTTCAAGCATTAGCCCTTTGTCGTTTCACTCTGATGGGATTTTGCCGGACTTGACTCTGTGTAGTAATTTGAATATATCACCAAAGTTGAAATGGTAAATTGGCCACCGTTACGGTTATAAAAGCTGACGTTTCGAGCGTTAGCCCTTCGTCTATTCGCTCCGACGAAGGGCTAACGCTGGAAAGGTCAGCTTTTATAACCGTAACGGTGGCCAATTTACCATTTCAACTTTGTTGATATATTCAAATTATTTCGTTATCCCCACCGACGCAGCGCCAAACAGTTTCTTTAGAAACGATCAGCCTTAAATATCATACCCTAGTTCCAAGGCCAAGTTATTAATTGTAGACATTGCTATAACAGCTGTGTTAGTTCCCCTCTGTACCAGTGAAAATAATGCCTCAGTGACACTGCAAAGAAACACATCGTTTGTTTTTAGCTTTGATCCAACGACTGTTCCTTTTTACTAAAAACAACCATCTGCTTGAGAAAAAAAAGATCATCTTACCACTTGATATGTTTACAAGTAGTGAGACCAACTCTGCCTTTTTCAGTTTGGGACAGCTGGTGAAGAAATGATGTGGCAGCAGTTTTAATGACAGGAGATGTCGGATCTCGCAGAAAACGATTGAATGATGGAGTGTGATCCTTTTTGAGGAACTCTTCTAC